TTTATGGGCGCATCTGCCCATGTTGTAGCGGTAAGTTCATTCTCATTTTGCACATTTAGAGAGTTGTGGGGTGGTGCAGTGTCCGACGCACTCGGAGTCAGACTCTCTGACGCCTCTCTCTCTCCTGTATGTTTTTGTGTTTTTTTCTTTTTTTTCTCTTCGAGGATGTACTACCGGTTGTCCGAGGCTCGACAATAAAGTTCGAGGCTCGGGAACGATCGGGCTACCGGTAGTCCGAGCCTCGGACTTGATAGCAGGGCGAGGAACTGGTGGTTTAAGTGATAGCTCATACTGTGCAATCAGACTCGCTTTATTCTCCACTTCGCATACATGCAAACAGATCGCGATTCACACTAACGCCAAGCGCTCACTCGAAGTTCAGAGATATGGAAACCAGAAACACAGTTCAGATGAAAACTCGCTTCAATAGGCTATGGCGCACCAGCGCCTGTACCTCCTAACTCTCGTCATTGTGTCCAACACCTCTGTTTGCACGCACTCAACTGTGGATCACCCTGAATACTCCATGTGCACACACACACTGTATCACATACACACATGACACCACTACTAACTATTGTGGCTATGGCCGCTCGCTAACACTATCGCTAACCACTAACTCCTTCTCTGCCCACTTCGTCCTCGGGCGACGTGCAGACCACCTCGCACAAGACGCTTTAGCAGCGCTTCCACATGGCTTACGCAGCAAATGAATGAATGGCTGGGCGCTGCCTCTTGATTTATACGTCTGTAACTCGTTGGTCTGCCCCTTTCCCAGGCCCTTGGTGTACACAGTCCCACACGGTACTTGCTTGACTGGACTGACTGACTGGGACCGGTACCGCTGAATGCATGGGTTTGCACTGCCAACTCGATGCAGTCGCACTGCCGATGTAATGCAGTTGGGCTCACCACTTGCCCACTTGCCTCTGACTAAACGTGAGACACTTCGAAAGGCCACTTCCGGACCTTCCGGAAGTCTGTGGACTTGGCCTTTCGGGTACTGTAGCAGCTATGACCTTGACCTTTCAGAGCATCTACAGCCACGGGTTCAAACACCTTCGACAGACCTACAGATTAAACCCCTACCACTATAAAGACCTAAGAGCTACGACCTTCGACAGACCTACAGATCAAACCCCTACCGCTATACTGACCTACGACAGACGACAAACAACTACCGAAACACAGATCAGGGGTTCAAACACTCAGGGGTCGACTCAATGTACATGGACAAAGTGAGGTCTGGGGATCGAACTCTAGGGTCCGCATCTGTGACTGCAGAAAGGCGAAAACCGTTTCAACTGGCTCTGTGAACTGACTGCTTTATACTTGCATTTGACTGTAGTCTGGTGCTTCAAAAAAATGTGTGGGAAAGGTGCAGAGATCCTGCCAGTTTTTTGTTTTTTTGTTTGAGATATGTCTGTAGCCCCTGCATCTGCAGGGTCCCATTAGCTGGGTTCTCATGAATGTTCCTGATCATTTGCATCGTGCAGAAGCAGAATGACGAAGCAGATTGTGCAGGGAAAAACGAATGGGCTGCTGCTGCTTTCGTCACTCTTTCAGCTAAACAGTGGCGCTCACTGTGGATCTGGAGCTATGCAGTTCTGACATGATCTGACACCAACAGAGGTGCAAGCTCTGTTTAAATCTGTTTGTGTTGTTACCTTTCCTTGTCTTTTCTTTGCCTTGTCAATGACTCGATGCGCTCATTATTTCAGAAATATCTCCAGAGGCGGAAGATGAAGTGCTTGCATATCCTCCACACACAGCTATATGCCTAAGGAGTGGCTGGGAGATGTGCGGGGTGGAACAAGCTTCAGGTGAGCTGTGAATCTAGCCTGCAATGGCAGCCAGGATGTGAGATGTTCAACACACCGAAGAGGGCCTTCCGCTTCCTAGCACCAGTATTGATTTCTTTGATTCCTACCAACAATGTTAGTGATTGCAGGGTTACCCATGCAAAAGGGTGTAGTTGTCGCATATGCAACCTTTGAAAATGGGTTGCCCTTGCTTGCTTGTTAGATTTGTGTGTGGAATCGAATGGCTGTATTACCGATCTGCCTGCTGTGGAAGTCTTTTTCTCAGGACAATTCTTACAGCAGTGTGCCAGCAACGATGTTATGTGCCAACAAGAAAAGGAGGCGGTGTGGTGTTCTCAGAATCTCACTATATGTGTTCGTGGAAATCTTCGTAGTGCTCCAGAAGCATGGTTTAGGGTGTTGAAAGATGTGATGTTGTCAGAATGTCACTAAATATGTTCATGGAAATCTCCATAGTGCACTGGAAGAGTGGTTTTCAGGTGTCAAGCTGGTTAGCAGATGTATGTGATTGTGCTCTGGAAGAGTGGTTTTCAGGTGTCAAGTTGGTTAGCAGATGTATGTGATTCACCTTTGCAGGCCAGTTAGTGCAGCTGCTGCACCCCCTCGTCTCCCTTCATGACCGGCGGAGATCACTGTGACAACAGTCAGGCACTTGAATAACCTTGGTTTTTAATCTGCGAAAATGTCTCTGACTCTCTGCCCAATGTCGGGAGCAGTTCTATTAACCAGTGATTCCGATGCTGGAAGGATGCACACAACGTATGAGAGTGTATGGCATAAGACAGAAGTGGACACAAGGATACTGCCGCCCCTCACTGCCTGCCATTCCACTAACCCCACAGAGCTTTTAGTATGGGACTCCTTGTGGTGGAATGCTCTTCCTCTATTGATAGTGCTCACATGAATTTGCGGTGGTAGCTGTCATTGCCGTGTGTTCCGAAACAAGGAGAGGCCAAGAGCACATCTGCATCGAAAAGACTGAGTATTTAATATCTACACTGCTATGCACAAGCTGTGGATGTAGTCCGCTAGCAATGAACTGGGTATCAACTTCCATGACATACCAGCGTTCCTCATCGGGGCAATGCTCGGACCGAAACAGAAACGAGCAGAGATTGGTTTTGAACGGAAGATTCGGATGTCATGGTGTGTGTATGTGTGTGGGTGTTGGCCGTGTGTGGGGGGCTCGGTGTGGGGCTGTGTATGTGTGTGCATCTGCATGCATAACATGTGTGTGTATGTGTGCGGATGTACAGAAGCATCTTCTTTTTCTACGGCATCCACACAAATCGACTTTCTCCTTTCCATGAGCCATCATACACACACACTTTAATCCATTTGCAAGGACCCTTTAGCGCACATCGAAAAGCGAAACAAGAAATGGAAGGCCATGGGCCGAGGAACGATAAGACAGAAAGCAGGCAGCCATCACGTTGTCCTTTTCCGGGCTCTGTTGGGGAAAATTTATGTCCTTCTCCATTCCACGTGTTGGACAACTCCTGCCCCACTGGATGTCTTGACCATCTGTCTGTCTACTTAACACCACGGTCACTAGAAACCTGAAGTGCAGTGTGTAATCCTCACAGACTTCCCAGCCTATGTTGCAGCCTATCTGCTGTAATATGTTGTTGGGGATGTAATTCGACAAGGTTTGGAAAGAGAAGGGGCAGGCTTCCTCTTGGAAAGGAATAGGGCGAAATGTACTCCACTAATCGGATTTCGCTCCCTACCCGATCTGTTGTTTCCAGAGTCCACATGGAAGTTTTTGCAGGAGTGGTGGTCTCGAGGTTCTCCACCTGGCTTTTCCTTGATTGGAGCAAAGGTTGAGCAGCCCGTTGAGGACGACCCTTGTACCTGCAACATAGAGTACGAGGTGGAGCTGTCCATAGCTGACAGCTTTAGCATGAAGTACCGCTGGTATGAAGGCCCGCGTAATGGCTTGGACTTCACTTTGATCGAAAATGCAGAGGGCAAGGTGAGATATATCTCGCTCTGCTCGCTCTCCACATGGGCATCTTACTTGTGTGCTTCCTTCATGCCTCACTATTCGTTGCTTATAGTATTTGGTGAAACTTCCTCCATATCTGATCCAGGCTTCCAGCTATATTCTGGATTGATTTTTTGTATTGTCTTGGCACACATTTGTTCTCCCGTTTTTCCTTTTTTTTAAAGCAAGTCTCTGATGTATTCGTGGGGAGCAGCACGGTTCCCAGCACGTGACACATTAGTCATTGTTTGTAGGTTGTAACAAGCTGGTGAATTAGTTGTTCACATCCTTCTTGGAATGCAACCCTTTGAACAACCTGCTGGTGATGTGCGACAAAGTGTTCACGTTGCTCCTGCTTCTTGTAGGATATAGAAGTCAGTTCCTGATACCCGAACTTGCTGCCGAATCAAGTTCATGAGGAAAACACATGAATGTGAACATCAAGCGTGTCTAAATGATTGCTAAGTTCTCCTTTTCAACCACGACTGCAGGTAGAGAGAATCATCATGCCAGTTACTGCTTTTGTATATGTGCCCAGGGTTATGGAGTGAGACCGCATCAAGTTTTGACCATGGTCAACCATGGTCCTTGGTGAGATGATGGGGGATGGGTGAGCCTTGACTGGCCATTGAATAGAGGAAGGCGTCTTATAGAGGGGACATGCATGACTTACTGTTGCCAAGTGGGAGGGCAGGGGGGGGAAGTTGGAGAGGAAGCATGTCTGTGTGTTGACACGTTCTCTCCTGACATGTGTGTGTGTGTGTGTGTGTGTGTGAGAGAGAGAGAGAGAGAGAGAGAGAGAGAGAGAGAGAGAGAGAGAGAGAGAGAGAGAGAGAGAGA